GGAAAGGGGCTACTTTTCAAACCTCTTCATCCCTCTTTGCCTATTAGAAACATATTGAATGTTTGAACAAATTTGCTGTAATCTTTTTATTTTAGAGACCACTAGACAGGACGAACTTCCCTCTCAGCCACCTGTCAGCTGTTACTCTGAGAAGTTTATCTCTGTTTCTCTTTGTATGAATGTCCTTATCTGTCAACTTATGATAATGTCACTATGGTTGTAGACTGTTGAAAGGATTAATTATAAAATGGTTTATGACTATGGATAGCATCTTATGAAATGCTCAATAAAAGGTGGTTGAATCCAAATCAAATCTGTCCATCCTTCGAGGACCAATTCAATTCTACATTTACAATGAAGCCTGTATAAAGATACAGAGGCAGAATTGATTCTTCCTTCCTTTTTCCTTTCTAAGCCTTTGTTTATAGCTTAGTTACAGCATTTATTAGAGTTTTCCTAACATTAGCTGATTTATGCATATATCTGCTTCCTCTCCCCTTGTGATAAGCTGGGCTGGGCAGGGACCAGGTATTTTCCATCTTGCTGCTTTCAGCTCCCTAAATGAGTGTCTCACACTTAGGAGATGCCCAGAGGCAGGTGCTGAAAGTGAGGAAGACAATATGTCCTATGTGCTGTGGTTTACTGTCTCTCATATAATAGACTTCAGATTTTACGTAATATTCTTCACAATTAATTTAGATATAATTTACTTACAACATTGTATTAGTTTCAGGTGTAAAACATAATGATTCAATATATGTATATATCACAACCTGATCACCACAGTAAGTCTAGTTAACATCCATCACACACATAGTTACAATTTTTTTTCTGGTGATGCAAACTTTTAAGACCTACTCTCAGCAATTTTCAATTCACAATTTATTCTTATTATTATTATTATTTTTTTTTGCGGTACACGGGCCTCTCACTGCTGTGGCCTCTCCCGTTGCGGAGCACAGGCTCCAGGCGCGCAGGCCCAGCGGCCATGGCTCACGGGCTCAGCCTCTCCGCGGCATGTGGGATCTTCCCGGACCAGGGCACGATTCTGTGTCCCCTGCATCGGCAGGTGGATCCTCAACCACTGTGCCACCAGGGAAGCCCCACAATTTATTTTTAAAATGTCAACTTGAGCTGCTGAATCTGCTCCCAGTCTTCGCATTTCTTAGACATTTAGCCTTCTATTGGTTAGAATTGACCTATCAGCTATGATTCCTTGATAAGGGCTTGCTTTTGAATTTAAATGGGATTTGAACTCAAATATGTGATTGAAAGAGTCGATCCAGTCTACAAGCAAATAAGAAAAAGCAGCACATCCGTTTCCTTCTTCCAAGCTTCCAGTCTTCCTCTAGGGCCCCCTATTGTCATAACCTTGCAAGAAGCCAGCTGTTAATTCTGGGTGGAGTCCCCACCACAGCATTATAAGGCAGAATGCAGGTTAGGAGTTTGGGATTGACATGTACACACTGCTATATTTAAAATACATAACCAATAGGGACCTGCTGTACAGCACAGGGAACTCTGTTCAGTACTCTGTAATGGCCTAAGTGGGAAAAGAATTTGAAAAGCAATAGATACATGTATACGTATAACTGAATCACTTTGCTATACACCTGAAACTAACACAACATTGTTAATCAACTATGCTCCAATATAAAATAAAATAAAAAAGGCAGAATACAGAAGTGAGGTGTTAGCTGACACACAATTGCCTGTTAACTGGCACACTGATGATTAATGAAAATGAATGAACCTTTTCTATTATATAGTCTCGTAGCTGGTTCAGTTTCAATCCAATGCTTTCAAGCCATGAAAAAGTAAAGCTTTCATTAAGCTTTGTTGTGCAGGGGTGAGGGAATGTTAAACAGACGAGGTCGGGCATGTTCAGGGTGGTATGGTCATAGACAGGGAATGTTAAACAATTTCCCACTTTTTTTCTCAAGCAGGTAGGTGTTTTGTTTCTAAAGGAGAGTGCATCATCTCCAAAATGGATTTAGGAGTGTGCCTTTAAGGAAACTATCTTAAAAGAAAAGAGGAAGCCAGGAACCAGAAAAGGATTCTGGAAAGCAAACATAAATCCTGGGGAGATCAGATTTCTACTGTTTGATGGTAGAAGTGGTATGAATTCCAGCGTAAGTGCCACTCTGGAATGAAAATGGCTCCTCTTGCAAAAAAGTGACCGGTGCTATATTTCCCTAATTAGGACAGCGCCTTGTGCTGGGGTACAGTCCTGACAGTGAAGCCTGTTAGTTTGATAAATGAATTACTAGCACTATTCTGCTGATTCCTAGACATAACGCTCAAGGTGCCCTCGGCTAGTCAACATGGGTGGAAAACATATCCTCACACATTTGCTTCATGCCTGAAAAACAAGCAATTTAGGAGAAGACATCTGGATACAGAATTTGAACAGTGCTCAGAGCCCATCAAAACATGGATTTCATGGCTTGGCGTCTGGCTGCTAAGCAACGTACCTCTTACATTCAAAACAGAGATGTAAAAGTAGATCCTGGTGCCAACTCCGGGTATTTCTCATTGAAAAAAAAATAGCCATGAAAGTTTTTCTTTAGGTCCCAGATATCTGATTTCCATGAAACTGAAGATCTCAGATCATTTCTCCTCTAGCCCTCTTGGTTTCCACATTCTGAAGTATTAGGCGGAGATTAACATTATATTTTAAAGTACTCTCAAATTAATGCTACACGAGTCTTGTAATATTTTCCTCAGCCCCCTAATTAATTGCGCTTTTAAAATTAGGTGCATACATTCATAATAATATGCTCTTCAAATATTTGGTTCTCATCAAGTTAGATGTATATACCAGAGGGCCAACCACAAACTAAATGAGATTTACTTTACTAAAAGTATGCTTCTGCTTGGCAAGGAGGCCAGGGAGGGCCCATGTAAAATATTTTCCATGTGTAGACTAGTTTGAAAAATGAATGTTCTTATAATACTTATTAAAATTAAGATAGATGTTAACTTATTTCCCCCTTGCTTTATCTATTTAAAGGAACTGATATATTTCAAAGCTTGGAAAATAGGAATCGTTAACTACCCAAACAAAAAACAAATCCAGAAGAAGCAACAGACAGATCATTTTGAATCACTGACTAGTTTTCCTTTTTTTTCTAAGAAGCAATTAGGAAAATTATGGGGCAGGAAATAGGGAGTATTGGGGTCTTCTATTAATGTTTATGGAATGTGCATTTTTATTCCAAAATGAAAGTGAACCATGAAAATGTTCAAAGTGAACACTTTGCAGTAGTATGCCTACAAAAGTATTTTTTCTTCAGTCTTTAGAGAACTTCCTTCCATAAACTCTCTGAAGCCTCCTTCTTGGCAGCCCCTAGTGATGTAGCAAAGCAAGAAATCCAGACATGGAAAGTTGTGAACCAAAAAAAGAAAGAAAGAAAAAAAAAAGACTTGGAAACCAAATAAAAAAGGGATAGTTTTACAGGAGAACTTCACTTCATATGGAAGGCTACACAAATGAATGTTCTTCCGTTTTAAAGATTAATGTTGTGCAGAAAAATTAAAGGATGGTTTCCAGGAGATCACTTCATGAAGAGAAAGGTTTTCCATTGTGCAAAGCACTGTGCGTTGCCCACTTCTCCCTAAACTGTTGCCCTCCGGCATCTTTATTTACATGTGGTTTACATCTGTGTCCACCCTGTGAACCACAAGTGTTTCTCCACTCCAAATTTATCAACACTTTTCCTTCATACCAGAGGTGCCTTAGTAAAAATAGGAGAATTAGGTGGTGGAGCTATGTGATTCTGAAACCTCCTGCAAGCCATCATTGAATTTCCTGTCCTAGTTCTGGTTGCTCCCTTTGCACCATGATTTTGCATAATATTTCAAAGCTTCTAATCCTTCTCTCTATCCTGGATGGATCTCAAACACTTAAAGAATGAGCTTTCAAAGTCCATTCTTACCAGGCATCTGAAAGCATGACTCAAAACCACCAATCAGTACAGCTGTGAAAACTGAGGCTCAAAGCTCTGAGCAAAACAAGCTCAAAACCAGTCCAGACTCTGTATCTGAATGTCACACTTTTGTGGCGGTCTACATAGATATTGTGTTCCTCCCAGAACCTCTGGGCCTATAAAGATCAGTATTTTTTCCCTTCCTGTAACCCCCTTCCTTAAAAGAGGGAAATCCTGGGAAAACATTCCTTCATGTCTTGACTCTTTGCCCAGATCTTTCCGCACTGGGGCTTCAGAAACATTCATCCAAAACCCAAACATGCAAGCTGGATGTGACCCTTGACTGGCAGCTGTGGAGGATGGAACAGTTCTTGCCATGCATTGGAGGACTAGGCAAAGGAGTTGCTAAGGAACCTCACAAGATTGGGTTTCTATATCCTCCTGGCCATCCCCAATCCCTTCCATCCAAGGAAGCAAGATTCCACCAAGCTGGGTATGTAAGAACTCCATTAGGAAGCCAGACTGGAAAACAAGTCCTTCCTTTGGAAAGCCTTCCCTTGACTTATGTCTTGAAAGGGGTTCAAGTAAGAAGGTATGGACGTTTACAAAGGAAGATGGTGGGTAAAAGTGACTACAGTGAATGAATCATCAGCCCTTGCCATTAGGTTAGACAAAGTTATATCTTTGGGTTCATTGGAAAGTAGATGATCCCTGATTCCAAAGACAAACTTGCTTTCCCCCTTTTCTCATTTAACGACGCACATTTCCCCAAGCATTCTAGCTCCATTTTACCATATTTACGCATCTATGACTGCGTATCTCAGACTGGAGACATCCTGCCTGTTGGACTGATTGTGTGAGCAGGTCTTGGTCATTTAAGGCTTGAATTGCTCCGGCTCTATCCTGAATACGGGAGCAGATCTGGAGGCTGGCTGGGTTTCCTGCAAGAAGCAGGGAAGCAAACCCATGGGGGCAGGCGGTTTGTGGGAGAAACAAGGCTGTCAACAAGGCTGTCCTGTTGACCTACCTCCGTACTCCGGGGCTTGAACCACTCCCCCAGGCGGGACCTACCTCCCGAGTAAACAGGATGGCAGCGTCGTAGTGTTCCTCGTGGTCAGCCCCCAGCTGGTTGTGCTGGTGCTGCCATTTGCAAAAGTTCTTGAGCGTGGCGGCCGCGTTTTTGCTCACTTCCAGGCTCTTGTCTTTGTCGCCCAGCACCACCACCTTCACCACGACCAGGCGGATGTGGTTCTCGATGCTGGCGTGACTGTACAGCTTGTTGGCGATGGAGGCCAGGGTCAGGAGGTAATGCTGCAGGCCCTGGCCATACATCCGCGCCATGGACGCGTCGGCCACCAGGAGCAGCTCCACCTGGCGGGCCCGGGAGACGGAGCGGCGCCGCCGCCGCCGCCACCACGTCTGTGGTCTCTGACCCCCATCGGACGAGGGAGTTGACTGGTCCGGGAGCTGCGGGGCCAGCGCCCAGCGTCGGTCCGGGCTGCTGTGCGCCGGGGGGCGCTCACGGGGCCCTGGCGGGGACGTGGGGGTCTCGCAGCTGGTGCGAGGCGGCAGGGCCTCAAAGCTGAAGCCCTCGCGGGTGTAGACGTGCAGGATCCGCGCGGACCCGTCCCCGTACACGCGCCTGGCCTCCGCCTCCGCCCAGGGCGCGCGCAGCAGCGGCTTCAGGGTGTAGCGCGCGTGCTTGACCGCGAAGAAACCGTCGAGACCACCGCAGAGGTCAAAGACAGCCAGAGAGCGGGGGCTGCCGTCCACCGTGCCCCGGTAGAAGCAGTGGCCCCGGTGGCGCCGGGTCGCGTTCGGCCCGCCTCCTGCGGGCACAAAGCCAGCGGCGCCCACCGAACCATCCCGCTCTAGGTCCAGGAGGAACCTCCGGCCGCCCGCGTAGATCAGGTAGCCCACCTTGCCGCCGCCCGAGTAGAGCTGGTCGATGTTCTGCACAAGCCCGCGGCTCCTGCGCTGCGGCGCCAGGGGGTGAGGGTGGCCGGGAGGCTCGGCCGGCTCCTGCGCCTCCTCCCCCTGCCGCCGGCTGGGCTGGGCGGCCGCCGCAGCAGCCCGAGGCTGCCCGGCTTTATCCTGGGCAGGTGCCGCGGCGGGGCCGGCCGCGACCGGGGGCAGGCGGAGCGCGCACAGCAGCAGGGACGCCCACCCGAGCAGCATAGTGCGCTGCCCGCGGGGAGGGGCTGCGCGACGGGGACTTTATGGGGGTTTGTTATTCGCTCTGGAAGTTACCGGGGCGGGAGGTGGGGACACACATACACTTGCTTGCAAGGTTGAGTCAAGTGTCGGAGGGAGGGGGACCCGGCAGCAGCGCCAGCCTGTCCCGGCCGCGATGCCAGCGTGCGAACTTTTCTTTGTTGGTTTGGAAAATGTTTGGATTCGTGCTCCCGAAAGAGGATAAAAAAAAGAATAAATGAAAAAAAAAAAAAGAAAAGAAAAGAAAAAGAAGCCGGGTTGTGGAGAAAAGGGGAAAAACCCCAATCCAACCCCAGCCAGGATTGGAGCACCGAGAAAAGTAAGGAAGGTGCCGCGCACCAGGCGGGCAACTGGTGCGTGCTGCCTCCAGCCCCCTTGCTGCTCGGGACCCGCCGGCAGCAGGGGTTCCAAGCTCCGGAGCCCGCTTCCTTTCTTATTTTGTGGGTTTCCTTGACTCTACTGGAACCGGGAGGAAGGGAAGAAAGAGAAGAAAAAAAGCCATAAAAATTAAAACAGAAATGCAAGGGGCGGCCTGCGGCGAGCCAGCGAAGCTGCGCGTCCGTGTCCCTTCTGATGCAGTGTCTTCCTGCCCGCCGTCATCCCCAGTCGGCCGCTGCGAGCGCGGAGAGCAGCGCGAGCGCTGTGAAGATGCGAGGAGGTGGAACAATGAATTTATAGCGGCATGCCATCCTGCAATGGCAATTTCAGCAATTCGTCACTGCAAGCTGCCTCTTAAAGGGAGAGCTTCCCCCACCACTCCCACCCTTCCTGGTCCGCGCCTAATCAGATGGGGGAGGGCGGGCCTGGGGGGTGATCGAGGAAAGGGCGACAGCGGAGGAGGAAGGGACCTGGTGAGGTGGAAGGAGGGTGGGGGAGGGAGCAAGGGCGAGGGGGAGAAAAGTATTTGAGTAAGAAAAACAGAAGATTTCTTTGGCCTCATTTAAAGCCACAGCGGCTGGGGTTTGTCTGATATTTCACAACCAATCGGGGTTGGCTAACCTCGGCTTACCTCATCTCCTGACGGGGTGTTTTGGTATGTTTTTAAAGTTACTGAGACGTTTCAAGTCTCTCTCTGCCCCCTTTTCTCCTGCTTTTCTTTCCCTCGGTAGGAAGTTCCTGCAGCACGTTTTTGCCCTGTGCACGCCGGTGCGCTCTGGACTCGTAGACCTTGCAACCGCATCCATCAGCCAAGGGCTTTCAGCTTCCCGTGCGCCCCCTCGCCCTGCTCTCCCGGTACCGGTTTCCTCCCTCCGCATCCCTCGGACTCTTCGCTCTCGTTCTTGGATGCACGCTAGGTTCGGTCTTCGGGTGACTAACTTTTCCCAGCCACCAGCAGAGTGGCCGCGCAGGCGGAGAGCCGCGGGCGCTTCCTGGCGCGTCTCTGCGCCCCGAGGGCTGCGTGTCCCCGGGACAGGGCCGCGGGAGGCCTGGGAACTCCGCGCCTTTGTGTGCGAGCCGCGGGCTCCCCCCTTCCTCAAGCGCGCCTTTCATCCTCGCCCACGATCCGTCACTTAATCCCGGATGACTGGAACTTCCTTTGCTTTGCTTTAAGAAGGCAAGGGCGGGAGGGGGGGAGAGTTAACTCTTGAAGGGAATTGCGCTCATTTTTTTTTTCTCCCCATAAGATTAGGAAAAAAAAAAAAAAAGTGCCACACTTTTCTCTTATTCCTTCGTCTAAAATGATATTTAAATGATAAATACCCATATATGTATTTATTTCTCCTAAAACAACCACCACCACCCTTGGCCCTGACCGACTATCATTCTCTGAAATTCCTTTTAGGTGAAAAAGAAGACTTTTGGGGGGAGGAAGGGCGCAGGTTGGTGTTTATTAGTATCTGAGTGGTATTGTTACTGCTACTTGGTTTCTCTCTCCTCTTTCTTTCCTCAAATTATCAACTCTAGTAGAAAAGAAGGAAAATCCGACTTTCTAACCACTACTGATAATGGTTAGAAGGTCTACCGTAGGGACAAGAGTACCTTCCTTCCCCATTATTCCAAGACGAATTAATGACTACATCAGTGAAAAATGAATCTGCTATATAGTTAGCACATTTCTGTCTTTCTACCTTTGTTTAATTCACAGAGATGCATGCCAAGGATAGCAGGGGCACCTCTGTGCACTCCAAGCTGCTGGTGGTTTTTGTATCTTTGTTAAGAGATCTGATGACTATTTCAGGGAATCGGGAGGGTCCTGAACTGACTTGAGGTCCTCCGAGTAGCAGCGATGAACCCGGGAATCCCAGAGCTGCCCAGCAGTGATGCCCATTGCCCTGTGCCTGGAGCACCCTCTGGAGTCACCTGGAGGGAGGGGTGAAGCGTGTTTTGAGAGTTAGTTCTCAACTTATAAATGAACTGATCATTGGGGTTTCCGGACCACCCAATAACTTCTAGTGGATTCTGAAATACCTCAAGATCTGGGAGGAAGTTCTATTGCTGAAGGCCATTGCCTTTTAATTCCACGACCCCTCAGTCTGTCAGTGGTCAGCTGTCTAAGACCAATACTACCAGTTGAATATTTTGAGGAACCAGAGACATTCAGAATCAGGAAATAAAGGAGAACCTAGTTCCTGAAGTCTTCCTGTTCCCCCAGTAGCCTTCAAGTTTGTACTGGCCATTCTCTCTTCAGGGGTCATTGCCTGTGCCTTTAGATAGGATTTGTTATTGTTATTATTACCAATTTCAGTAAAAGGTAGCCCAATATTCGTCACTAAATACCATCTCTAAAACAACTTGGATTCATTAATTTTAACCCTTTCATCATTGTTAACCTCAAAGGATCCTTTTGATAGAGAAGCAAATGGCAGTGGTGTAAATTAATTATAATTATTTGAATTCACAGATTTCATAGTTAGCATTTAAAGAAATTCCAAATGAATTTTCTTCTTAGTGAATGAACATCTTTCTCCTCTCTCAGAAACACTGCATTTCTCACATGAATCATGCCTCTGAATTTTATGCCTTCAATTTTAATTACATAATGATATTTGTACTCAGGTAGATTATTCAAAATTTTAGAAGTATGTTGAAGAACAAGATAGATACAGATAAAGCTCCAAACGTGAATATCAAGTACTAAATATAAATATTACCACATATTCACAAGGACAGGAACTAATACAGCTTATAAATTTAATGAGTAAGTTCTTACATATTCAGAACATTTCTAATTGGATATAACCTTTTTCTTTTTCTGTGAAAGTAACTTGGGCACTTTAGGAAGTTCATTTGGTAACACTTTAAAAATATTACCCTTGTGGATTAAGATGAATATTCCACAAATGTTCCAGAAAAATTAATGTCTGTCAGTCCAATAATATACTTTGCACTGGCTAAAAGTAGCCCGTGTTTTTATTTTCTTTTTAAAGAAGAAAAAGAACATGTATGAGGAATCATGTTTAGGGGGACAATTTGCTACTTCGTTATTTCATTATTCCAAGTGAAGTGTTACTTGTGCATATTTAATGAGAAGTTTCCACTGCATTTCTAGAGTATATGACCACACCTGATGTGTAATTTTACATTTCCCCAAAGGAAGAGAGACTTTCTACTCCAGAATGTTACAAACTGGAAATTATTTTAGAGATTATTATCTAAGAGTTGAGAACAAAGTGAGTTGCCTGGGAGTCAAAAATCCACTAGTGGCCAGCTCTCCTGCAACCTAAATTCCTTCCCCCTGATTTGATGGGCAATCCACAACCTCTCTTAAAATCCACCCAGTGTAACAAATATCTGTCGAGGTCCCACTGCAAAGTGCTCTGGAGGTTCTCTGGAGACATATGAAAATGAATAAGTCATGATTAATGTTCAAAGATGCTGACAGTTCAGAGATGGAGCCAACTGTACCAAGAGACACTTGGAATGCAAACTGGAAAATGCAAATAGAGAGGGGAAAAAAGCAAGAGAACAACTTCTGCAGGTGCTTTGAGCTGTGTATTTCCAGTACAGCTTCATTTCATAGGATGTGTATATTCTTGTAAGTAGTATTTTCTCAAATTTCCATTTGCTAATGTGTCATTTCCTCCCCTCCCCCATCTATGATTTTAATGCTAAAAATGAGGAAATAACTGACAATAAAATATTTCCCTCTAGTCAAACACCTGCTCTTTACCTCCCAAGTAGGAGAATGACAGCCTGTCAACTCTGTAATAGTTTTCCTTTCCCACATCAGGATCCCTACCCTAGGTCTTGCTGTATTTTGAAGTCCCTGAGTATCAGGTCCCTGAGTGGCAGGATGCTGGATGCTGGGAGTGAAGCAGCTCCACTGCTGCTTGAGGCCCTATATGAATGCTCTAAAGATTCTAGGTCAGCCTTTTCCTCAAGTGCCACTCAACTTTGCAAATTCCAGTTCTCAGAAGACTTGCTTCAAAACCAAAGGCTATTTTAGATACCTCATATAAGTGTGTAATCATGCAGGATTTGTTCTTCTGTGACCGGTCGATTTCACTTCGCATAATGTCCTTCAGGTTCATCCATGCTGTCCACGTAAAATAGTCAAACTCATAAAAGCAGAGTGTAGAATGCTGGCTGCCAGGGTCTAGGGGGAGGGGGAAATGGAGCGTTGCTCTTCAAGAGTATAAAGTTTCAGTTATGCGAGATGAATGAAATCTAGAGATCTGCTGTAAAACATCGTGCCTATAGTTAACAATACTGCACTGTATGCTTAAAAATTTAGTGAGGGTGGATTTCATGTTAAATATTCTTAACACAAAAACAAAATGAAAACCAAAGGTTACACTTGGGGAATAGGGAAAGGAGTGTATGCTATCTTTGATATGAATCCTAAATTTTTAGAGGGTAAAACTACTACCTAAACTATGATTCTCTTGCGGTATGCGGGCCTCTCACTGTTGTGGCCTCTCCTGTTGCAGGGCACAGGCTCCAGATGCGCAGGCTCAGCGGCCATGGCTCATGGGCCCAGCCGCTCTGCTGCATGTGGGATCTTCCAGGACCGGAGCACGAACCCGTGTCCCCTAGCATCGGCAGGGGGACTCTCCACCACTGCACCACCAGGGAAGCCCTATCCTTCTCTTTTTTCCTAACCCTTTACCTCCCTCTCCATCTCCTCCTATAATCTACAATGGTGTACACATCAATGTACATGCACAATCTTGCACATATTAGACACACAACACACAGCAGCATGTGTGCACCTGTGCACACGCTTCGCCTTAACTCGGTTTCCCATCTAGGCTGTACTGATGTGACAAGGGGATAGAATGTCTTGAGAAAATAAGAGAGGGTATTATGCCAGCTCTTCCTTTCCCCTTGCAGAGAAAACTTTCTTGAGACCTTCATTGTAGAGATTTTATTTTTTTAGGGAAATATACCACACTTCTGATAAAACTCAAAACCATTTTCTCTGGTCTCTGCTTAGGACATATTACAGAATGGTCTATCTCTTGTGACAGATAACATATGCTTCAGAATCAGTGTTATTTAATTTTATAAAGAATAAATTTTGGACAAAGCTAGATTTTCATTTTTTTATATGCAGAAATTTTATACAGTATAAAAGTCTTCAAGTGAGTAATGTACATGGTATTATTTAAGACATACAGGTGCTATCTGTAAAGTAAAACCAACAAGTGTTTTTATGCTGACCAGCTGTGAAACGTTGTTTTAGCTTTTCTCACACAAATATGCACATATTACTTTCTTTTAGGAGTTACTCAAGTTCTTTTTTTTTTTCTTTATTTTCCAAAAATCATCTCAAAATCAAACGTTACTGGAAACACATGGAAAATCAGGAATTTCCAGCCTAGAGTAATTTAAAACATTTGAGTTTTTTATTTTTTCCTTCATGATGACAAATTTAAGCAAAGATTTCAAATTGCGTAATGAGTAGTTGTTGCCATCGTAATTGTAGCAGGTAAGAATTGTTGTTCCATAGCCCTACCACTAGGGTTTTTTTTTGTTTTTTTAAGTAAAGTTTACATGGTAGCAACACTTTGTTCAACCTCTGCAATATCACAGTCTCCTTGGAAACCAGTGAATCTCTCCTTATTAAAAGTATTTGCCTTATTCTGGTCAGTAAAGTAAGAAGCGGAAGTTAGTCCAAACAAAGCTGATAAACATCAATTTGTTCCTGCCTCACTCGCCCCTGGCTAGTAAGGAAGACAGTGGCTGCCTAATCAATAAGCTTACCTTCCAC